CTCACCTGCTCCTCCCATCCCCTCTGTCCCTCCCCGTCCCCTCCCCCTCTGCCCTTTCACCCCCCTCCCCCTCTGCCCTTTCACTTCCCCCTCCCCCTCTGCCCCTCACCCCCCCCCTTCACCCACCTCCTCCCCTCCTCCTCCCCCTCACCCCCTTCACCACCCCCTCCCCCCCCACCTTACGTATTTAGCAGGTAATCCTGGCACTCGTGGGCGGCTTTGGGCGTGATGCTCTCCACGGGCAGTTTCATCAGCTCCTCCTTATCGTAATCTGAGATAAGAGAGATAAGAATAAATGAGGCAGATGAGAGAGATGAGAGGGAGCGGGTTATCATTTGTGGGTTATTTTTATGTGATGATGATGTGGTGGATGGTGATGTAATGATGATGAATGATAATGATGATGATGATGATGAATGAGATGATGATGAAAGGATGATGATGATGATGATGATTGATGAGATGATGATAACGATGATGATGATGATAATGATAAATGATGATGATGATGATGATGATGATGATGATGATGATGATGAATGATAATGATTAATGAGATATGATGATGATGATAATGATAATGTGATGATGATGATGATGAGATGATGATGCATGATGGTGATGAATGTGATGATGAGGATGAGGATGATGGAATGATGATGATGGTGTGGTGATGGTGGATGATGATGATGATGATGATGAGATGGTGGATAATGATGGGATGGATGATGTGGGATGTGAGATGATGATAATGGTGATGATAATAATGATGATGATCATAATACTAATGCTAATAGCAATAACTGTAATGATAATAATGATAATGATAATATTGATAATACCAATGACAGTAATAATGATGATGATAGAATGATAATAATTATTATTATCATCATTCTTATTGCTATTATTATGTTTTAATCATCGCCGTCGCCATCATCACACTCATCACCGTTACCTCCGTCATCACCATCATTTAAAAAGGATTTTTTTTTTTTTTTTTTTTTTTTTTTTTTTTTTTTTTTGTCGCATCGACTTATCTTCAACTCTCTACTCAAACTCACGAACGTCTATATAACGTCATATATATATAATTTATCTCTGGTTTTCTCTCCTCAAGACGATCTCCACTCTTACGCAACAGAAGTCCTCGTAAATAAACATAAGTCGCATTCTTCCCCACCCTGTATGGCGGCAGATGCGAATTCCTGGCGAAACGAACCTCCAGTATGCAAATTTTCCCTTTCTTGTCAATCAGTTACTTAAAAAAAAAAGAAAAAAAGAAAAAAGAAAAGAAAAGAAGAAAAAAAAAAAACTGTGTTCTGAAGGCTGAGACCACACACATAGGTACGCTCATAGGAATACACACACGTGCATATGTACGTGCATGTACACAGAAATAAAGAGAGAAAGGAAGAAGAAGAAGAAAAAAAAATATCAGCAAATAAATTGATGATATATAACAAAACTTGAAAAAAAATATCATCAAATATTAACGCTTATCATTATTGTTATTCTTCGTATTATTATTATTATTATTATATTCCATATCACATCACCACACCACATCATCAATCATCAATCATCATCATCATTATCATCATCATCAATCATCATAATAATAATAATTACAATAATAATAATAATAATAAATAACAATAACAATAACAATAATGATAATAATTGACAATATTACATTATCATTATTATTATATTATTATTATCATCATTATTAAAAATCGCAAAATACATGTACCACCACAGAACAACCCTTTACACAGAAAATGATCGGTTGCAGACCACGGTCGCATTTACATTTTACACAAACAAACACATTTATATCAGATGTCTCGCTACCCCCCCCCCCCGCCACCCGGTCCCCTGCCCTCCGCAAATGCATTCAACACACACACATGCATACACACATTAGGGCATGGGTATATATGCGTTTGTGTGCGTTTGGATATAACATGTACACGCGAGCACATATATATGCATTCGTGAACACAAGTGAATGTACACACATGGACATGTACACAAACACACACACACACACACACACACAAACACATAGAGATATAGATATATATACAGATACATGTAAATATAAACACACACACACACACAAACACGCACTCATACACACATAAAGAGATATAGATATAGATATAGATACATGTATATAATAAACACACACACACACACACACACACACACACGCACACACACACACATACACACACACATACACACAAACACACACACACAACACACACACACACACACACACACATATATATACATATATATTATATATAATATATATAATATATATATAATATATATATATATATATATATATATACATACATACATATACACACATACATATACATATTCAAACATGTATATACGTATATATGTATATACACGCCCACATTTCCCTCCCAAATTTTCAGACGCACTAAAGAAAGTCCTTGCCTATCTTGGTATATGACCCGAATCCATAAGGAGATTCATGGGGGACACTTACGAATGGACTTCTTGTTAAGGCGCAGGAGGATAGAGAAAGAGAGGTAGAACGAATGATAAAGAAGGGAGATAGGAGAAGGAAAGAAAGCAGGGAAATAGATGGAAAGAGGGGTGAGAGGGAAGGGGGGAAGGGAAGGAAGAGGGGGAGAGAGAGAGAGAGAGAGAGAGAGAGAGAGAGAGAGAGAGAGAGAGAGAGAGAGAGAGAGAGAGAAGAGAGAGAGAGAGAGAGAGAGAGAGAAGAGAGAGAGAGAGAGGAGAGAGAGAGAGAGAGAGAGAGAGAGAGGAGAGAGAGAGAGAGAGAGAGAGAGAGAGAGAGAGAGAGAGAGAGAGAGAGAGAGAGAGGAGAGAGAGAGAGAGAGGAGAGAGAGGAGAGAGAGAGAGAGAGAGAGAGAAGAGAGAGAGAGTTGCAGAATAAAAATATGAGTTTTTGTATTTGCCAAATTTTGTTTTTGAGATACTGCTCAAACACAAACGAAACATAGGCGCAAAAAGACACGTGAAATGACAATATAAAAATTAACACTATAAAAATCCAACACGAAGAAACAAAAACAAAAAACAGAAAATCAAAATTAAAAAATAGATAAAATAAATGAACAACAAAAAAAATAAAGAATAAAAAATAATAATAAAAAATAAAAAATACAGACCACGCCCACGCCCAAAACCGACCCAGAAGCCCCTCTCCCTCACCATTATTCCCGCAGACGATGGCGTGGGCGTCGTGGCAGTCCGGAGCCGCCTTCACCGCCGTCGTGTAGTAGAGCCCCTCCTTCTTACACCTCCTCCGCCTCTCCCTCGACGCCCGCAGCACGCCCACGCCCACATACACCGTCAGCACCAGCAGGACGCCCATCAGGAGCACCACGAAAGGCATGAGGACCAGCAGGGTGTTGCGGGCGTGGGAGACCAAGAGGGTGGTGGCCTGGGACTCGCTCTGGACGCAGTAGCTGACGGTCACGGGCGGACTCGGGCCCCGGGCGTTCTCTGCGCGCACCGTCAGGAGGTAGTGCACGTCCTTCAGAGACTGGGGGGGGGGGGGGGGGAGCGAGGTTGTTTAATCGTTGTTATCATCGTTATCATTTTTTTCTGTTTATTTCATACTCCTATGAATGGGTTAAGAGAGAGAGAGAGGAGAGAGGAGAGAGAGAGGGAGAGAGAGAGAGAGAGAGAGAGAGAGAGAGAGAGAGAGAGAGAGAGAGAGAGAGAGAGAGAGAGAGAGATGATAATAATAAATAATAATAATAATAATAAACGAAGAAGAAGAGGAAAAAGAAAAGGAAAAGGGAAAGATTAAGAAAAAGAAGGTTTAATCAATTAAGAAGTCTCCTGAAAGACGAATAATAATAATACCCCTCCCCTCCTCCTCCTCCACCCCACTCACCCCTCCATCCCCCTTCCCTCCTCCACCCTCACCATCCTCCACCCCCATCCCTCCACCTCCTCCTTCTCCTCCACCCCACCCTCCACCCCTCCACCCCTACCCTCCCCCCTCACCCTCCCCACCCTCCACTCACCCCTGACGAAGAACTGGGGCTCGGGCGCGTCTCGGAAGTCCTCGAGCAGCTCCTCCTTGGCCTCCTGCCGCACCTCGAGGACGAACGACTGGTTGAGGCCGCCGTCCCAGCCCGGGAGACACGACAGCACGACGTAGGAGGAAGGCATCGAGGCGTTCCTCTCGGCGACGCAGGAGGACACGGCTTCGGGCTTGGCTGCGGGAGGGAAAAGGGCTTTTTGAATTTTTTGATTTTTTTTTTTTTTTTTTTTTTTTTGAGGAGGAAGAGGAAGAGGAGGAGGAGGAGAAGATGAAGAGGAGGAGGAGAGAGAGGAGGAGAGGAGGAGAGGAGGAGGAGGAGGAAGAAGAAGAAGAAGAAGAGGGAAAAGGGCTTTTGGGGGGGGGGGGAAGGGGGGAGGGTTGTTTTTTTCTTTTCTTTTTTGTTCGTTATTTTTTTTATCTGATTTCTTTCCGATTTTTGTTTTTTCATGTTTTTTTTTTTGGGGGGGTCTTCTTTTTTATTCGTTTTTTTATCTGGTTTCTCTCCGATTCTTTTTTTATTATTTTTATGGGGGGTGTCTGCTTCTTTTTTTTTTTTTTATTCGTTATTATTATTTTTATTATTATTATTATTATTTTTATGTGATTTCTTTTAGATTCTTGGTTTTTTATTTTTTTATGGGGGGGGGGAGGGTGTCTTCTTTTTCTTCTTTTTTATTCGGTATTTTTTTTTATCTGATTTCTTCCGATTCTTAGTTTATTCATTATTTCCTATTTATCTATTTATTATTTGATTCATTATCTTACCTTAATTACTTTTAAATTTTTAATTTTTAAAAATATTTTTGTTATTTTTGGTTTATTTGTTATTTTATACTGGATTGGATTTATTTTCAGAATTTATTTGGGTTAGTGATAGTGGGGGGGGGAGGGGAGGGGGGAGGTACCTAGCCAAAGGAGTGGTATTGGTAACACTGCGCATTAATAAGCGATGGCAACTCTGATAAGGAACTCACTCAACCGCAACAACTCCAATTCTTACCCCAAATGCCACTCCACTCTGGCAACTCCAGTTCTAAACTTCTCCCTCAATCTGTCTCCCACCTCCAACCTTGATCTTACACCATCACCACCACCTCCCCCCCCCAAACCTCCACCTCCATCTTTCACTTTCACCTCAACTCCACCTCCACCTTCCCTTCCCCCTCCACCCCCACCCCCCCCACCCTCCAACCTTAACTCCTACTCCCACCACCCCCTCACCCCCCACCCTCCACCCTCCCCCTCACCCCCAACACCCACCCTCCACCCCTCACCCCCCTCTACCCCCCCTCCCCCCATCACCTTTAACCCCCCACCCTTCCCTCCCCCCACCTCCTCCACCATCCCTCACCCTCACCCACCCACCCTCCACCATCACCCCTTACCCCCCACCCTTCTCACCCCCCCAACCCACCCCACCCCACCCTCCCCAAACCCATCACCCTCCTCCCTCCCACTTTCACCATCCCTCCCCCCAACTCCCCCTCGACCCCTCACCCCTCCACCCCTCACCCCTCACCCTCCATCCCTCCACCCATCCCCCCCCCCACCACCCCCTCACCTGCAGGCTCCACCCTGAAGACGCACGCCTCCTTCTGGCTCCCGACGCCGTTCACCGCCCAACACAGGAGCTCCCCGAAGTCCTGCTGGGTGAGGGGCGTGTACCTCACGACGCTGCTCCTTCCGCTGCTGCTGGAGAGGGCGAGAGGCACGTCCCTGAGGCCCGAGCTGGTTTCATGGCCCATCTGAGGGGAGAGAGAGAGAAAGGGGGAGGTTGGATTGGGTCTGGTTGACGGGGGGGGGGGGTTGTGGGGGGGAGGAGGGATGGGGTTGATTGTTTTTTTTTTTTCTTTGTTCTTTTTATTCTTGTTCTTTCTTTCCTTCTTCATTTTTTTTTCTTCTTTTTCTTTTTCTTTCGTTATCTCTCTTCTTCTCTTTCTCTTTCTTCTTATTCTTATTCTTCTGTTTCTGCTTTTGCTTCTGAATCAGAATCTGATTCTGATGCTGTTTTTCTTCCTCTTCGTATTTGCCTTCTCTCCCTTCTTCTCTTACTCCACTTCCTTCTTCCTCTCCTCTTACTCCTTCTTTGTCTCCTCCATCTCCTCCTCCTTCTCTTTCACCCTCTCATTTTCATCCTCCTTCCATAGCTTCTTTTCTCTCACAAAAATTTACCTTCACTCTCTCTCTCTCTCTCTCTCTCTCTCTCTCTCTCTCTCTCTCTCTCTCTCTCTCTCTCTCTCTATATATATATATATATATATATATATATATATATATATATATATATATATATACATATATATATATATATATATATATATATATATATATATATATATATATATATATATTCCCTCCCTCCCTCTCTATCTCTCTCCCTATCTCCCTCTCCCCCTATTCCCCCTCCTCCTCCCCCTCCAACCCTCCCCACCTACCTGACAAGACAAACGGGGGAAACTCACCTGAAGTCTATCGGCACAGGATACGAGTCGACGTGACAGGACACCAGGATCTCCTCCATGGTCCCGACGCCGTAGGAGGTGTGCTGGTCCTCGGCGCACGTCGGCAGGACTGCGGGAGGAGTGATGGGTGGGGGGAGGGGGGAGGGGGAAGGGGTAAAGGAGGGGGGGAGAGGGGAAGGAGAAGGGGGGAGGAGGGAAGGGAAGGAGAAGAGGGGGGGGATGAAGCAGGGGGGAGAGGAAGGAGAGGGGTGGGGAGGGGGGAGGGGAGGGAGAAGAGGAAGTGGAAGGGGGAAAGGAGGGGGAGGGGAGGGGAGGGAGAAGAGGAAGTGGAAGGGGGGAGAGGAGGGGGAGGGGAAGAAGAAAAGGCTGTTAGTCTGGCGTGGACGGCAATTATTCATTTCTAGAGTCAGTGGTTTTCTGTGTTTTATTATTCAATTTGAGACATGGAATTTAAAAAATGTTTTTTTCTTCAGCCACTGTTTGTATCTCATTATATCCTCTTATGTGGAAGGATGTGCGATACACTTTTTCTTATACTAATCCTATTTTTTTCTTTCCTTTTTAGATCTTTCAACCATTGATTTTGTCTTTTTTATCACTTTAATGCCCCTTCGCTTTACTTTAGGATACGATCTCTTTACATCAGTTTAAGAGTGATTTATATACACGAAAGGATCTCCACTTTTAACAAATCACTTTTGACAATGAATATACTATCATCTTAACACACAGACACAAAACCCTTCATCTTAAAACTTAAAATACTCACAATCACCTTTTCACTTCTCAAAAGTACTCACTGTGTACTCTTTTACTTCATACCTTAAAGTACATTGACTTTGCCATCTTTACTCTGACTGACTCTTCACTCTTTGATTTAGACAAAAAAAAAAAAAAAAAAAAAAAAAAAAAAAAAAACATCCTTTGCTACCAAAAATTGTTCACACTTCACTCTTTGCCTTAGGTTCTAAAACACTTTCACTTCATTCTTTGACTTGGGAAAAATATACTCACAGTAAAATCCTTTTGTCTTAGCTTCAAAATCACTTTTATTTTACCCTTTTTAGACCCGAATTTACTCACCCTCTCTCTTAGTTCCAAAACTCTCACACTTTTGGCTCTTGCCTTGAACCCCAAAACACTCCCATTGCACCTTTTACCTTAGACTCAAATACACTCACACTTCACTCCTTTTTTTCCCTCAGACCCCAAAACATTCACACTTCACACTATAAGCCTTAGCCTCAAAATCAACAACCACTCCACCAATTAAATCTACAAGTGGACACACTACAACCCTTTTATCCCCCCTTTTCTTTCACCTCTAATTCTTCTTCTTAGCTTTCTCCAACACAAATGTAAATAGATTAAATAAGAAAAAACACTCACACTTCACTCCTTAAGCCTTAGCCTCAAAAAACAACATCCACTCCACCAGTTAAATCTAAAATTTGCACACGCTACAACCCTTTTAAAGCCCCCCCCCCCTCTCTCTTTCTTTCACCTCCAACTTCCTCTTCTTCTTCTCAGCTTTCTCCAACACAAAACACAAATAAAAATAAATGAAAAAAAAAAAAAAACACTCACACTTCACATCCACCTATACCCCCCCCCCCTCTTTCTTTCACCTCCAACTCTCTTCTTCTTCTCAGCTTTCTCCAACACAAAACACAAATAAAATAAATAAATAAAATAAAAAAAACACTCACATTTCACATCCACCTGAAGAGGGCCGGAGACTGTCGTTCCTTCTTCGTTCGTGGCGGCGCAGGTGTACACTCCCGAAGAAGCCCTGGTGATGTTCCTCAAGTGTAAGGTCGTCCTGCTGACCGACACACCGAGGGCGGGGTTGCTCTCTAAGGGGATGCCCTGTGGGAGGAATGGCTGGGTGTAGTGGGGGTGGGGGGGGGGGAGGTGTTTGATGTGTGTTTGATTTTTCTTTCTTTCTTTTCTCATTCTGTTTCTGTTCCTGTCTCTATCTCTGTCTTTCTCCCTCCTCTCTCTCACTCTCTCTCTCTCTCTCTTTCTTCTTTCTCTCTCTCTCCTTTCTTTCTCTCTCTCTTTTCTTCTCTCTCTCTCTCTCTCTCTCTCTCTCTCTCTCTTTCTTTCTCTCTCTCTCTCTCCTTTGTCTGTTCCTCTCACCTCTTTCCCTTTCATTTTCATTTTCTCTTTTTTGTGGAACGTTAAAAGTGTTCTCTGTGGAAAATGTTGTTTTCCTTTAATTATTGGTGTTGTTTTTTGCGGTGAGATAATCTTTTTTTTTTTTTTTTGTATTTCTCTAATGGATGGTACATATGTGATGTATTTTTTCCATGACCGTTATATATGGCATATCTATGGTGTGATTATACTTTTTAATGGATGGTATGTGGGTGTTTTTATGCTGTCGTTTTCGCTTCTCTATCTAATGGATGGTGTATTTAGTTGAGATTGCAGTCTCCCTTGCCCAGTTGCGTTAAAAAACAAGTATCCAACATGTTTCGAAACTGTCTCAAACACGTAAATAAAGTCCCCCTTATTTAGGTTAGGAGGATTTCGTCACCTCGCCCATGACACCAATTTTTGTCTCAAACTGTACATAGTTTTACCTCCTAGTTTATTTCCCCAACAAATTACTCACTTCCTTACCTAATAGCTCAAATGACATGATTCGTTGGAAGTTTTCGAATTCAAATATTCGAATTTGAAATTTTGAGCCGGTTATCGTTAAACGGAAATAACCGTCAGGATTTTCCGGTTTGTAATTGGGATTTTCAGGTACGGCCAGCGGGAATAAATGGGTATGTAGATGAAAGTTCTTCAGTAAATGTTGGCAATGAAGTTAAAACGGTTTGCGCCCCCTGGAATGCAATTTACCTCGATGCGTTTTTGTTTGTTGTTGTTATCTTTTTTATGCATTACATAACAAAGGGAAATTGGTTCTCATCTACACACACAAACACAAAGGGGACGGGGGTGGGGGGAGGGAAGGGAGGGGAGAGAGGGAGAGAGAGAGAGAGAGAGAGAGAGAGAGAGAGAGAGAGAGAGAGAGAGAGAGAGAGAGAAGAGAGAGAGAGAGAGAGAGAGAGAGAGAGAGAGAGAGAGAAGAGAGAAGAGAGGGGGGGGGGGCGAGAAGAGAGAGAGAGAGAGAGAGAAAGAGAGAGAAGAAGAGAGAAAAGAGAGAGAGAGAGAGAGAGAGAGAGAGAGAGAGAGAGAGAGAGAGAGAGAGAGAGAGAGAGAGAGAGAGAGAGAGAGAGAGAGGGAGAGAGGGGAGGAGGGGGGAGGAGGAGGGAGAAAGCGAGAGAGAGAGAGAGAGAGAGAGAGTGAGGGAGAAAGAGAAGACAGAGAAAGGCAGACAGCCTGACAGATATACCGAGAGACAGAAGAGAGAGAGAACAAGAGATAGACAGAGAAGTCGTATCCGAAACCCGATTCCAGTGTGGAAAATGATAATGGGAGTAATATATAGAAGAAGAATAAAGTAATAATA